CAGGATTTCAGTCCTTCGCGGAATAGTGTGTTACCAATTGTTTTCTTGGTGACTATGGTCCCAGCTGCCTTGAGATCATTGACAAGATCCTCCCGTGTAGTTCTGGGCTGATTCCTCACCGTTCTCATGATCATTGCAACTCCACGAGGTGAGATCTTGCATGGAGCCCCAGGCCGAGGGAGATTGACAGTTATTTTGTGTTTCTTCCATTTGCGAATAATCGCACCAACTGTTGTCACCCTCTCACCAAGCTGCTTGGCGATGGTTTTGTAGCCCATTCCAGCGTTGTGTAGGTCTACAACCTTGTCCCTGACATCCTTGGAGAGCTCTTTGGTCTTGGCCATGGTGGAGAGTTTGGAATCTGATTGATTGATTGCTTCTGTGGACAGGTGTCTTTTATACAGGTAACAAACTGAGATTAGGAGCACTCCCTTTAAGAGTGTGCTCCTAATCTCAGCTCGTTACCTGTATAAAAGACACCTGGGAGCCAGAAATATTTCTGATTGAGAGGGGGTCAAATACTTATTTCCCTCATTAAAATGCAAATCAATTTATAACATTCCTAGCCTTGACAAGGAGGTATTTATTTAGCTTACCATCATGGTATTTTAGAATGTAAAAAATATCAAAATGTGTGTTGAAAGGTATATCTTATGCATATTCTTATTTCTTTTTTTTGCCCCTTTTTCTCCCCAATTTCGATCTTGTCTCATCGCTGCAACTCCCCAAAGGGCTCGGGAGGCGAAGGTCGAGTCATGCGTCCTCCGAAACATGACCCGCCAAACCACGCTTCTTAACACCCGCCTGCTTAACCCGGAAGCCAGCCGTACCAATGTGTCTGCGGAAACACTGTTCATCTGACGAATGAGATCAGCCTGCAGGCGCCCTGCCCGCCACAAGGAGTTGCTAGAGGGCGATGAGCCAAGTAAAGCCCCCCCGGCCAAACCCTCCCCTAACCCGGAAGGCCAATTGTGCGCCGCCCTATGGGACTCCCGATTACGGCCAGTTGTGATACAGCCCGGGATCTAACCCGGGTCGGTATTGACGCCTCTAGCACTGCGATGCAGTGCCTTAGACCGCTGTGCCACTTAACAAAATGTGGAAAAGTCAGGGGGTCTGAATGCACTGTACCTATTATTGACACTCCATTTTAACCATCTCAAATGAATTCAAGGCTTACAGAGATGGGTGCTTCCAAGGAAAATACTACTACTCTCCCCACTGAATCCATAATCTTATTAAAGTTTTTTTTTTTTTACTTTCCCCCTTTTTCTCCCCAATTTCGTGATATCCAATTGGTAGTTACAGTCTTGTCCCATCGCTGCAACTCCCCTACAGATTCGGGAGAGGCGAAGGTCCATACGTCCTCCGAAACACGACCATGCCAAGCCGCAATGCTTCTTGACACACTGCTCGCTTAACCCGGAAGCCAGCTGCACCAATGTGTCGGAGGAAACACCGTCCAGCTGGCGACCGAAGTCAGCTTGCAGGAGCCCGGCCCGCCACAAGGAGTCGCTAGAGCACGATGGGACAAGGAAATCCCGGCTGGCCAAACCCTCCACTAACCCGGACGATGCTGGGCCAATTGTGTGCCGCCTCATTGGTTTCCCGGTCACGGCCGGCTGTGACACAGCCTAGGATCGAACCCAGGTCTGTAGTGACACCTCAAGACCGATGCGCCACTCGGGAGCCGCACTGAATCCATTTAATCCATTACTAAGCCAATTATCAGCACATTGTTGAGCCTTTAATAGCTGACTGAATTAAGGGATGGACATAGGAAACAAACCAAACACAGTTCTAAAGTTACTGTTACGGATACAGGTATCCTGTATGTGTTTTTGTGTTTTTCCTCTCCTTCTGCCCTAATCACAGGTGTCCTTTATGTTCCTGATCCTGTCTGACATTTGTTTTTCTGCTGATTGCTGAGGTGGACCAATCAGTGGACATTCCTCTGCATTGCACCACCTGTTTCTGGTTTTTCACTCACATCACACATCCCATTGTTTTAAAAGCCAGTCAGTTGTGTTTGCTGACAGAGACTATTTCCGTATGTGCGTATGGATACTGTGGTGTCCTGTTTTTTGTGTACTCACTCATTTGCTGGTTACTCTGTATGGTAACTATGTTGTGTGTTTCTGGGAAAAGGGGGATTTAGCAAGTTGCCCTTGGGCATACATTACCCGTAGAAAGAACATTGTCTAAAAACATTAGTTAGACCTGAGCGGACCACCCACTGTAATTTTTGTATGGTTAGCAGTAGCTTAGCGGTTCTTGAGGCAGGCAAGATAAGTTTAGGATTTTCTTACATTATTGTTTCATTCCTTGGGTCCTGCTCAGCCCTTTTTCCCAAACCTTTACCGTGTGTTCACAATAAACATTTTGTGTTTGACGGTAGCTTGGTTGTCAGTGTATTTTTGTTCTCACTGTTTCCGGGTCACGATTCAAATTTGCATGAGTTATGTTACGGGTCTCTTTTCCATCCACCCTAGACTTTTAAAGCCACGGGGTTCGTAACAGTTACTTATTAACTTTCTCTTTCTTAAGGCTATGTATGGGGCAGTCAGTGACACTTCATTTAACCTTTAGCACAAGTCTCCATGCAGTAGGCTATTTAAAGGCTAAACAAGGGGACAAAACACCAGTAAATCTTGAAGCTTCTGTTTGTAATCCACTTGAATATCAACAAACATTGTCAGGTATGTAATATAAGTTGTGTTAATATTCATATGAAGAGGTAGTTAGCTATACTTTTGAGTAATGTCAGTTATAAGCATGCGGTGGTCATATGACCATGGTATATTGTTGACCTAGAAACTACTTGATGTACCCTGTCTGTATCACGAGACTCGACATAATCTGGAGATTCCCTCTTTAATTTTCAGAATTTGTGATTGAGGTGTTTTGGAAAATGTTTATGAGCAATTTTAAGATAATCAACACAATACTTGTGGTGACAACCTTGATATAATGTAATTGTTACTTTCAACCTTGGTTGATTGCGGGTGGTTATTGAAAATGTGACAACACCCCAGTGGTTTTTTTGTCACTTTTTGTGTTGAATATCATATTATTACTCTCATCTTGTTTTTATCAAGAGGTATAGTTGGTGCATTAGAATGAGTGTTAACTATGGATTGGACAGTATAGTGTAAATTCAATACTTTTCCTTAATTTAGTTAACCCTCATTCTTATGCATAAACTGTTTACGGCATTGAGTCCAAGAGAGGACACTTCAGTCTATCAATGTGTCCAATCCAAGGGCTAGAGTGGAACAGGGCAGAGGAGTTTAGTCTATCTGTGTTAAAGCTGTAATATGTCAATTTTTGGGCCACCTGACCAAATTCACATAGAAATGTGTGTTATAGATCTGTCATTCTCATTGAAAGCTAGTCTAAGAAGCAGTAGATATGTTCTATGTGCGCTATTTCTATGCTTCCCATTCTTAAGTTTGATTTTGCATATTTTACTTTCGGTTTTGTACACCAGATTCCAATAGTGTGCAACTGCAGCCCGCAATTCTGAGTTTTACTGCATGTGGGCATTCCATTGGTTCCTGCATGAGCACGACATCTTCATGCTTGTGTGACACTTTTGAATTTGGGTCAAAAGGGAAATAAAAGTATTATCTGGGGGTGAAGGACACTGTCTACTGGTTTCCCCCGCCTCCCGCTAGCATAGCAGGTGGGAGGCTGGGGCAACACTGTGTGCTAGCTTGCTAGTTAGCTAGCTAGCACACAGTGTCGCCCCCGCCTGCTATGTACCGGAGAAAACCGTGCCTGACAGGCGGGGGCGAAGGACACTGTCTACCAGTCATCACCGCCTCCCGCTAGCACAGCAGACGGGAGGCTAGGGTGACACTGTGTGCTAGCTAACTAGCTAGCATGCTAGTTAGCGGGACCGTGTGCTAGCCTGTCGGGCACAGTTTTCTCCGGTACACAGCAGACGGGAGACTAAGGCGACATCATGTGCTAGCTAGCTTGCTAGTTAGCGACACCGTATGCTAGCTTGCTAGTTAGCTAGCTAGCACACAGTTTCGCCCCCGCCTCCCGCCTGCTGTGTACTGGAGAAACCTGTGCCCGACAGGCGGGGTGAAGGACACTGTCTACCACTCGTCTCCGCCTCTCGCTAGCACAGCCTGGAGGCTAGGACGACACCGTGTACTAGCTAACTGTGTACCGGTGTCCTCCTTAGGACTAGCTGGCTAAGCTAGCACACAGTGTCCTTTGCTCCTGCCTGCCGAACACCTGCCCTCACCGTTTAAACAGAACTGCGGGAAAACAGTGCCTGATAGGCGAGGGCGAAGGATACTGTCTACCACTTGTGTACGGCTAGCTAGCTACTGTTGTCGCCCCCGCCCCATCTTCTGTGGGGTTTATCGGCGACTGGCATCCAACGTTATTGTGCATTAACGCCACCTACTGTACTGGAACAACCCCGCCTCCCACCTGTCCTAACTTTAAAATGTACCAATCGAAGTATAGAGAGGGGTTCCTGGAGATGCAGGACTGCCCACATGCAGGAACGCCCCGAATTGCAGGCCACAATTGCACCATTCCCCAGCTTCAAACAGCTGAAAATATTTTTGGTTATGGAAAATATATTTCACAATGGTTTAGATGGTACAATGATTCTCTACAGTATACTTGCTTGTTTTGTCACATAAACTGAAATTAACTATAAACTATAACTACTATAAACATAACTATAAACATTTTAGCAAGCGGGAAATGACAGAGCGATTTCTGCATAGTGCATCTTTAACAAGTGTCTCACCCACTGACCCCTTCAAGTTAGACATTAAAGGACCTACTTCTCTACTACAATCAAGGATATCAGGTCACTCCTGACCCTCTCAACTTTTTCTAATGTGTGCATTTCATCTGACAGTGACAAGACTGGACCCTTTTTATTTATAACACAGAAAGGATTAGGAATAGGCAGTGAGTTAATTATTTAACTTTCTCATCATGTCACTCAAATCTTCTTGTTTCTGTAGGACCATCATGGAACATCTGGCCTGCAGTGCGATCGTGGCCTTTTGTTTCTGGAGGGCACTTATTGCAGGTGCACATCCTCCTCGATCAGTCCTGGGAGAAAGTCAACCATTTCAAAGAAACTTTCCGATGAAAGGTGATGATAATGTAGCTCTCTTCACGACAACAGACACAGGTTGGTTCCTTGAAACGGGCGTTTATTGCCTTGCACGTCTTTTTCTCTGATGCATCCACGTCACGCCGTGAGAACTATATATTTGAATGAACACAGTAACGTTGATAAATTATACAGTACTGAAACAAAGAATACAAATGGCGCTCGGCACGACAATACAAATGGCGTTTGGCACGAATATAAACAAAGTTCTACAGGTTGAACAAAATACCTTGTTGGCTGCTTGTCCTGAAAAGAGGTTATTGAATCCTTAAAGTCCCTTGAAAGTCCCTTTACTGTCTTTCTTGGCCTCTGCCATCAACAATTATAACTCAGACTAAGATATGCTTAAGTTAGATTGCACACAGTCAATTAACAAATTCCGTAGCAGTAACACAACAGAGAACGTTAGTTCCAGGATGGAACATAAAAACACAAACAATGGCCTAACGTTAATTTTACCTGTTACATCACATTTAAACTCTTACCTATACATCAATAAATCATTTATTTATTTACTACATCAAATAAACCATGAATTATGTATTAATCATGCATTGTGAACACAGCATCTATGTAACACCACTTACACTCCCACCAAATCACTCATTAACTTGGAACGTGGGATTTTCTTTTAAACAAAAATTATGAAAATAATTAATAAAATGTTTTAAGTCTGAATGAACGTGATGAACGTATGTGATTTAGTTAACCTCTAGTAAGGTAACTACTTTGTGAATAGGCCTTTCAAGGTGGACTGATCTAGTGTGTGGTTTTCCTTTACCAAGTGTAGTGTCACTGACTAGTAGCTTCAGCTTTCGCACCATGCCGTCTGCACTAGGATGAGCTTCTACAACCCTGGCAAGCTTCCACTCATTTCTTGGTTGAAGTCCTTTCAATTCCCTAACAACTTTCTGGAGCCTGGCAATGGCTCTCACTGCTCTGGACCAGTCAGAAAACTTAATGAAGCGATTCACTATTGAATTCACTTCTTTCGTCTTGACTGCGTGGACATGGGCCTTGCGAAGCTCAGGGTCGGTTGTTTCTACTTCTCACACCATTTCCTCTTCACGTGGAAGACTCCGCTGCCAAAGAAAGTTGGGTCCTTTCAGCCAGTTAGACTCTTTCAGCTGAACTGCACTCAGCCCTCTTGAGGCGTAGTCGGCTGGGTTATTTTCAGAGTTGACATATCGCCATTGTTCAGGGTTTGTGCTTGATCTTATGCGTTGGATCCGGTTTGTTACAAATGTGTGAAACCTCTTGGCGTCGTTGTTCACGTAGCCAAGGACCATTTTTGAGTCCGTCCAGTAACACTCTTGCAGGTTTTCAATCTCGAGCTCTCTTTTGACGACATGACCATTACAGACTGAAGTCACAGCTGACGACAATTCAAGTCTTGGGATAGTCGTTAGTTTGGTAGGGGCTACTCTTGCCTTCCCCATGACAAGTGAGCAACTGATGTGTCCTGTTTCACTTATAGCTCGGAGATACAAACATGCACCATATTCATTGAGACTTGCATCTGAAAGGTTGTGAAGCTCGTATCGCTTGACCTCGCCAAAGCTCGATGAAAGGTAGCTTCTTGGAATCTTCAGGGCTGCAAAGTGAGGCAAATCCTTAAACCATGACTCCCATTGTGGCAGAATGTGCTCGGGGAGATCTTCGTCCCAGCTTACTTTGTCTCTGCATAGCGTCTGAAGGATCTGTTTGCCAACTAGTATGAAGGGAGCCACAAACCCCAGCGGATCATATACGGAAGCGACTGTTGAGAGAACACCTCTCCTTGTCAGTGGATTTTCCTTAACTACAACCCTGAATTGGAATTCATATGTTTCGACGCACCACTGAACTCCAAGTGCTCGCTCGATGTGAAGTTCTCCTAGGGCCATGTCTAGATCCTTGCTTTGGGCACGTTCTGCAAGTGGTATAGCGGCAATCACTTCTTTGTCGAGGACCTTGATTATGTCTGTTGGATTGATCTCTTTGACTTGAGTTTTGCACACAAAGTGTACTTCTCTCTTCAGCTCAACTGATGGCTGCACGGCAGGTGTCACTTGTCGCACTATGATTCTGTGACTGGTTCCTATTGCATTACCGTAGTCACTTGCTTGAGTCGAGCAGCCAACAATGCTCCAGCCGAGATCAGTTCGCTGTGCATATGGATGATTTTCTTCACCGGACAGGATCTCCCTTGGAAGAAGGGCTTGTTGACAGTTATAGCCGATCAGAAGGCCTACTTCGCAATCCAGTGGTGGTGGAATCTTGTCGGCCAATTGTTCCAGATGAGGCCATTTAAGAGCTGTTTCAGCAGTTGGAATGTGCGACCTGTCTGCTGGAATGAAATCTCGTGTGAAAAGTGGTGGCAATGGGATCCTTTTCTCTAAAGTTGTACCCTCTCACTTGTAGACTTGTCCGTTTCTGGCAGGGTATGACTGTTGACCTTGAAGACATTGTGGACAGCCGCAAACTGACATTCTCTTTGTTTGTGTTGAGGTCTTGGGCCACTTCATCTAGGATGAAAGTCGTATCGCTTTGTGTATCTAAGAGCGCGTAGACGAATTTCTTGATCTGTCTGTTTTGTGGACGAGACCCAGACTGGTATGATTGAGGACGTCTTGTATGACTCTGTTGGTAATTGCTGCTGCAGCTATTTGGTGTCTGCTCTGTGCTTTGAGTAGTCGTCTACCTTTGGATGTGTTGACCTTTGATGTTCCTTGAACTTGTCATCATGCAAACATGTCGGGTGTCTCTTCTGACATCTTTCACATGTACTCTTGTTATCACACATTCTTGAGTGATGACCAGTCTTCAAACATCCAAAGCAAAGCTTTTCTGCTTGCACAAACTTGACACGATCTTGAACCGTCTGTTCACTGAACTTTCTGCATGTGACGAGGACATGTCCTGTTCTTTTGCAAAAAATGCATGATGGGATGTTGCTCTGTGTTGTGTTTGTGGACAGTGTCTTTGCTTGAATGGTTTGACTTTGTGGATGCTTTGGTTTCTCGCTTTCCACACTCTTGAGCGCTTGTATTGAGGATATAGGATTGCAAGCGAGATCTGCTTCCTTCGATAGAAAGTCTACAAACACTTTGAATGGTGGGTACCCAGCGTTTGCTTGTCTGACTTCCATCGTTTTGCGGTTCAAACTGGATACCAGCCAATCTGGCAACTTCAGCAGAATCTTTTGACTCTCATTGCAGTCATTGAGAACTTCCAATGTCTTAATGTGGGGCATTGCAGCCTCGCAGCTCTTGAGGAAGTCTGCAAAGTCTCTTAGTTCACAACCATCCTTAGAGCTTATCTTTGGCCATCCATGCAGCTTGTCTCTGAAGGACTTCCCAATTATGAATGGGTCTCCAAAACGTTTTTGCAACAGCTGCCAGGCTGAGTCGTATGCTGCTTCAGTGCCTAGTAGGAAAAATCCTTCAACAGCTTTCTTTGCGGCACCACCTAAGTACTTTCTTAGGTAATACAGTTTTTCATTCTTTGGAATGTTTTTCCTGTCTATTAATGTTTCGAAAGATAGGTGCCAGTCTTGAATAATGCAGGCTCTGGTGTTGGGAGACGATTGGCACTTATAGCTTCTGCTAGCATGTTGACCAGATCAGAGCTATTCTGCACTTGATGCATGGACACTGAAGTTGGTGGCGCTTGAGGTACCAATTGTGGACTTTGGGGACTAGGAGCTTGACTTGTAACTGGTAGAGGTTGAGGAATGAATGAGGGACTTGAGGCATAGAGGGCTTGCGTTGTGACTGGTAGAGATTGAGGGTGGTCTGGAGGAACTGTGAGGTTAAGAACTTGAAGTTCTCCTGCTGGCTCAATCAGTCAGTTGTCTCAAAATTGTCTTCGACCTGATCGTAGACCTTTACTCAAGCTCTTGCAGCGTTCAACTTCTTCACTTCCTCTAGACGTTCAAGCTTTCTACGCTTGTCTTGCATTGCCTGTTGTCTGGCTAGGTTCTCAGATTCAAATTGTGTCAGCCGCTGTTTTCCTTCAGCCTCTAGCCTTTGAAGTTCTATCGCTTCCCTTTCTTGTTCATCCAACACTGCCAAAATCTCCTTGGATGCGGCAGCTTCAGCTGCAGCCTCATTTCTTTTGACTGAGTGGATGCTAGAGTGTATAGAACCACATTTTGATCGACGAGACGGTGGCCTTGATAGAGAACCTGTTGAGTCTAGGATCGAGCCAACATCAGGCCAAGGTTCTTCCTCCTCATCTGCCGTATGCCTTTTAAGTTGCCTTTCTGCCTTTTGAATGATAAATCCTGAAAGCGAAATGCACGTGTTTGGTTCAGGAGTTTGCATTCTACGTAACTCCTCATAAATGACCTGTACATCAGAACAGGTGCTTTTCAGCTCAGCTGGTAGAGCACGGCGCTTGTAACGCCGAGGTAGTGGGTTCGATCCCCGGGACCACCCATACACAAAAAAGGTATGCACGCATGACTGTAAGTCGCTTTGGATAAAAGCGTCTGCTAAATGGCATATTATTATTATTATTATTATTATTATTTCATGTTCTCAATCAGCTCATTTAATTCGTCCTCAGAGGCCAAATCAGTCAATATTTCCTTGCCTATTCTTGCATGATACTTCCACTTCTCATGGATGATCCTGTACCGACGTTGTACACTCTTCAGCCTTTCTTCTTGAAGTTATTTTCCTTTCTCTGTTAGGGATCGGGTTCTTTCACTTCTTCGTAGCCTTTCCACTTCTTCTGCAGACTCTGTGTCTGTCGCGTCGGGTTGAGCAGGTGATTTGGTAATTTCACGGCATGTCTCAGTGCTTGTGTCTGACATTTTGAGATGGATGTGGTATGTGTCTCAACGATTGAGCTTGAATTTGATTTATATTAGGCTATGGGTGAATGTAAGCTACAATAGGCCTAAATGTGATTAGCCAGGAAGGTTAATAACTGTATGAATTCCTTAACTGTGTGAAGACTAGGTGGGTAGCCTAACTTCTAAATATAAACTTCAATATTGCATCAAGATAACTATCAGCATTTAAACTTAGCTAGACTTCAAGTTGACTTCAACTTCAAAATATGATTGAAAATTACTTTGGTACAAATAAACTTAGTATAAACCTTAATCACAGAATGAATATGCGTGTAATGCATTAAATCACGTATCACTTCACATAATAAAATAATTTCACATCAGTGGAGGTACCCTTTAAACTTGGCTTAAATTGCCCTTTAAGCTTGGCTAACACCACTTTTCATAAAACACTCATCTTAATTTCAATTTATGATTATCCTTTATCTTTACTCAAAACGTGTTCACTTGCTTATGGAGTTAAGTTTCCCTTTAAATCTCGTGACAACCACAAACACCAGCACATTCGATTTATCCCCAAAACATGTAGGCTAAGCACAGTATGTAAGATTCATAGAGCTGAGTCCTTAGTTGCAATTTCCAAGTTGAACCACTTCTCATCCCACCTTAACTTGAATGTTGTGGTAGAGTGCTTTTGGCCTGAAAAGTTGCGCTTTCAACACAGTCCAATCACCGTTGCTTGCAGTCGCTATGCCGACAATGTCATGGGCTTTGCTTATCTGATCTGCTGGATCTTCGTTGCGTCGTTACCCGCGGCGGTCTTGTTGTCTCTCCTACCCGTGTTGAGCAGGCGAGTTCTCACTGTAGCTCTCTTCACGACAACAGACACAGGTTGGTTCCTTGAAACGGGCGTTTATTGCCTTGCACGTCTTTTTCTCCGATGCATCCACGTCACGCCGTGAGAACTATATATTTGAATGAACACAGTAACGTTGATAAATTATACAGTACTGAAACAAAGAATACAAATGGCGCTCGGCGCGACAATACAAATGGCGCTTGGCGCTTCAATAGAAATGGCACTTGGCGCGAATATAAACAAAGTTCTACAGGTTGAACAATACCTCGTTGGCTGCTTGTCCTGAAAAGAGGTTATTGAATCCTTAAAGTCCCTTGAAAGTCCCTTTACTGTTTTTCTTGGCCTCTGCCATCAACAATTATAACTCAGACTAAGATCTGCTTAAATTAGATTGCACACAGCCAATTAACAAATTCTGTAGCAGTAACACAACAGAGAACGTTAGTTCCGGGATGGAACATAAAAACACAAACAATGGCCTAACGTTAATTTTACCTGTTACATCACATTTAAAACTCTTACCTATACATCAATAAATCATTTATTTATTTACTACATCAAATAATCCATGAATTATGTATTAATCATGCATCGTGAACACAGCATCTATGTAACACCACTTACAGATAACCTTGCCTCAACAAACAGTAAGTCATTCACTGTCAACAGACAAATACATGCATTTGATTCGTCTCATTCTCACAACACATTCACTAGTGTACCTTTAATTCAGGGCCGGCGTCAGAACGAATCAGTTGGACGGGCCTTTGATAGCCATAGGCGGGCATGTTTTTTCACCGGACCCCCTATGTGTGCACGCGCTTGCACGTTCACATTTTTTTTAATGGCCGTTGAAGTAAAGACCATAGGCAGCTCGTGAGTTTCAAGTTTGGAGAAGCTTACAATTTATCCTACCATTTCTACCGATCTGCGTGAAAGTTATGATTATTTTTGTATGCGCATTTTCGTGGAACAGTTTCATTTCAATAATAATAACGTTTTCGTTTCTCAAAATCATTGACACATGGTTAATCATATAAAAATCTGAAGTAAAATGATAAAAATCTAAAAGTTAAAATTCAACTCTGCCATATGGACACATTAGCTAGGTTTCCATCCAATTGGCGCCAGATTTTCATGCGACTATTCTAAAATCGACATAAAAACGATTTGTGAATTTTCCCACCAGAGATGCTTCCATCAAATTGACTTGTTGCAGATAAAAGGCTGTGCGTGATGACGTAGTACAGATAAAAATACATTTTGCGGTAAATTCCCAAGTACAGAATAAAAAATACAAGTTAAATGTGTTTCCTTCGCATTTTCAACTCTACTGATGGTTTTCTCACCAAAAATGTTGCGTTATATAGCGAGTGTGCCCACTCTGGTATTGGCACGTGAGCTCACACATATAGCCTACATGATGAGATTTTTATGAACAAAAGAGTAAGATTATTTTTATTTGTCAAACAGCAGGCAAGCATCGATGATCATGTCACCAGAATAAGACCCTCGATATTTATTGGAAAGGAGCATCAAACTCATCACCTTGCACTTTCACCACCATGTGAAGTTCATCATAATTTATTTAATCAGTAGCCTAGTGAACGGCATACTTTCTTGATGAATCGTAGTGGGAGGAACACACAAGATGTCGTGGCGTAACTTCAAGTTTACTTCGATATGATGGTTATTATATCAAAAGCGTTTCCACCGACATTTAGCTTATTTTGTTTTGTCGACATTTGGAAAGTTTCCATCGGGCTTGTCATGACATTATTTATCCAACATGCACTTTACTTGCATAAAAAGGTTGGATGGAAGCCTGGTTATTGATACACTGTGCTCCATTGGCGGCTAAAGAAATGAGCGCATAGAACTCAGATAGCCTATAGGCCAATGCAGCACTAGGCCTATAACTTCCATCATCAACTAAGTAAAATACAGTACATAGGCCTAAAGCCGAAAAATAAAAACAGTATAAAATATCCTGATGAAAATGCTGGTTCTTTCAATCACATTAATATCTCTACTCCACCTGTCTACCTCCCTTTCTATCTGTCTTGACTTGAGCTATTGCTAGTGAAGTGCAACATTGTATCAAATCATCAACTGAATCCGGCCCTGTCGTTAGCGAACTTGCAACATTGTATCAACTAGCCTATTCCGGACCCTCAAGCGTTTCCCGCGCCAGTGAGCTCTGGACAGATATGTTTTTTTATGACGTTTCCACTGGATATATGGGCTCATCAGATCATGATATTTTGCTCTTTCACACCGAGGCTTGGTGATTATCGAGGCCGTGAGTGTTGGAAAGATTTATGAAATACTGAGGAACTATCATTTGCAATGTATGTTAAAAAAAATACTTAATTTACTATGTGTGAGGTGAAGTAAAAATGACGGAGAACCTCAGCTTATTAGTGGTGGATGTGGTGAGTTAAGACAATCAGAAATCAGACATTGCCAAATGGGCACCAGGTAGGCCTACTTTTACGCATACGCAGGCGCGTCCTCCCTCAACGTTATCAGGACAGAGAAACCAGACACATGCTCATTGCTCAAGGAGCACTCCAAACAAAAGACAATGAAAAATGAAAAGATTCAAATCAACCAAAACTTGTTACTCACAAATGTAGCATGTTGTGAACTCTACAAACAATATTTCCCCTCCGAGAATGAGAATGGTAAATTATTGTAATTAATACATGCATTAACAGAAATGTATGTAACCAAATGAAGAGGGATTAATAGTACATTTACTAGGCCTACTGGTAACATATGTAATGGAGAATTGATCAACAATAAACCATCAACGGGCAAATAATTCACACAATGAAACAATGAATGGGCAAGAATTGGCGGGAGACAGCTGAGCGCATTCTGGAGAGCTGAGTGCATGCATTCTGGAGCGAGACACGCCATATCGTCGCCATACATCCCTCCCCCTTGTTCCAAAATGTTTTATTATACTCAAGACACATTATCTTCACACATATTTTAAATTAAGCCGCAACTTAATTAGCTAGACATATTGCCACGTGTGCTGCCCAAATTGCTGGATTCCCAAATAGGCATTGGCCTACACACTTGATTTGAAACAATCCACAGCCATTTTAAAAGAAGCTAGTGGTCCTCTGTGGTTAAGTTATGCTCTCTGGTGAAGTACTTTGAATGTTTTTATTTAGACAGGAGTAATTATATAATTTTGGCAAAACATCCATTTACTTAAGGGGAAGCCAGCATCCTAACAGTGCACTGTGCACCCGCCAACTTTCCTTTCCAATTCACGAGAGGCTGAAACCAGAGATCTGTATATAATGACGAGATGCTCATGTCTCCACCCTAACAATGGGAGTTGTTGGCCCAAAGGCGGGAAGGCAGATGACAAGTTTAGGTCTGCAGATTATGCCCATAGCAACCCATTGTGCTTATTCTGTAAAGATTTTTGTGAGAGTGTACCCTCTCGCTTCTCCTCTTCTTCTCTGCTGAAACTCTCACCAGAGAACGCAACCGAGTGAGCGAAACAGCGCCCCTCTGTCTTACTACGTGTAGTCAATGTATCTGATGCTGCCTGGACAGAAATAGTATTACATGCCATACTCTTTTGGTCTAGACAGCAACAAATACATGGTCTACACATACTGAGACAGAGGGGCTCTGTTTCGCTCGCTCGGATGCTTTATCTGCGTCTCGGTAAAATCAATCTATATCAATATTTCAATAGTTTATTTGGACGTGCAAGGAGGTAGGTAGAGCGGGCCCCCTTAAGGCCGCCCATAAAGCCAGCCCAGGTTACATTTAATGCCTACGCAGAGTACATATAAGGCCCACTAATCCAATGTTAAATTAACACTTTTTAGAGTTAAAAATAACACTGTTTCAGTTTACTGACATACCTTGACGCATTAGCTTTATGTTTTGGTATAGGCTACATACAGTATTAGTTTGGACAAAGTGAAAAAATAAACATACAATGTTCAGTAACTCTTTAATAATAATTAAATTACTATAAATATGCTTATGTTCCAATTTCCACACTAGCATACCACCTACGGTGCTTGCTCAATACATTGCTTCAATCTATGTAGTATGCTAGTGTGGTGGGTATTTGGTAAATTCTCAGGATATTCTCAGAATTTACCCCATTCTCCTGTCCCCTGCATCCCACAGCTGTTAACTCCACCAAGGCTGGTCCCCCTAGTGGGGACGTTAACTCCAACACCTGGCCCTACCTGGCTGCAGCGCTGGCCACCGCCCTGACCATCTCCCTGTTCATCGTGGTGGCCGTCAAGTGCCGCCTCTTCCACCGCTACCTAGCCAGCTACCGCCACTCGTTGCTCCCCGAGGGGGACACAGCCAGCCAGCACAGCCCAGACGAGGTGACCTTCCCTGGGCACGGCATGGTGGGCAGAGGAGGTGGAGGTAATGGGACCCACCGAGGGTTGGATACTGATGACGACGATGGCTTCATAGAGGATAATTACATCCAGGCCAGCGAGAGGGCGAGGGCAGAGAGTCACGAGGACGAAGGGATGGAAGGAGAGGTGGTGGAGGATAGTGATGATGATCTTCAGTTCACCATTGGGTGATTTTAGGACTGGTTGAAAATGATTATTTACAGTTGATTGGGTGACAGTGGTGGGTTCACTTCACAGAATCCCATGCTGTCCAGACCAGACCTGGGTTCATATAATATTTGTTTGCTTTCAGATGCTTCAGCTGTGCTTAATTAAGCTTGTGTGTCACCCTAAAGTGAAAAAACCCGCCCTCCAGGTGAAACAGGCACTCCAGGCAGTCTCAATCAAACACTCAACATATTTGAAAGAAAACTATTACTATTTGAATCCTGGTCTGGTGAGAATATGTTGAAAGATGAAATATACTGAGAAATGATCATGGTCCCATTTTAAACAAACAACAACCTATTAAGGCTTTATAGAACATTCATAAAATCTTCATAAATACTACACTGAACAAAAATATAAACACAACATGCAACATGCGCAATTGAGTTACAGGAAATCAGTCAATTGAAATAAATTCATTAGGCCCTAATCTATGGATTTCACATGACTGGGAATACAGATCTGTTGGTCACAGATACCTTAAAAAAAAAAAGGTAGGGGCGTGGATTAGGAAACCAGTCAGTATCTGGTGTGATCACAATTTGCCTCATGCAGTGCGACATCTCCTTCGCAGAGAGTTGATCAGGCTGTTGATTTTGGCCTGTGGAATGCTGTCCCACTCCTCTTCAATTGCTGTGCAAAGTTGCTGGATATTGGCGGGAACTGGAACACGCTGTTGTACACGTTGATCCAGAGCATCCCTAACATGCTATGTGGGTGACATGTCTGGCAAGTATGCAGGCCATGGAAGAACTGGGACATTTTCAGCTTCCAGGAATTGTGTACAGATCCTTGTGACATGGGGCCGTGCATTATCATGCTGAAACATGAGGTGATGGCAGCGGATGAATGGCACAACAATGGGCCTTAGGATCTCGTCACAGTATCTCTGTGCATTCAAATTGCCATTGATAAAATGCAATTGTGTTCGTTGTCCGTAGCTTATGCTTGCCCATACCATAACCCCACCGCCACCATGGGGCACGCTGTTCACAACGTTGACATCAGCAAACCGCTCACCCACACGACGCCATCTGCCCAGTATGTTGACTCCAATTCTTCCCGCAGTTGTGTCAAGTTGGCTGGATGTCCTTTGATACACACAAGAGCAGTTGAGCGTGAAAAATCCAGCAGCGTTGCAGTTCTTGACACACTCAAACCCGTGCGCCTGGCACCTACTACCATACCCCGTTCAAAGGCACTTAAATATTTTGTCTTGCCCATTCACCCTTTGAATGGCACACACACAATCCATGTCGCAATTGTCTCAAGGCTAAAAATCCTTATTTAACCTGTCTCGTCCACTTCAACTACACTGATTGAAGTGGATTTAAGTGACATCAATAAGGGATCATAGCTTTCACCTGGGTTCACCTGGTCAGTCTATGTCATGGAAAGACCTAATGTTTTGTACACTCAAATAATTTGTAAGCAAATACATAAATTAATTATGATATAATTAGTTGATGTTGAGAGGTTACTTGAACTCTGTGAAGCATTTATTTGGGCTGCAATTTCTGAGGCTGGTAACTCTAATGAACTTATCCTCTGCAGCAGAGGTAACTCTGGGTGTTCCTTTCCTGTGGCGGTCCTCATGAGAGCCAGTTTCATCATAGCGCTTGATGGTTTCTGCGACTGCACTTGAAGAAACTTTCAAAGTTCTTGAAATGTTCTGTAGACTGACCTTCATGTCTTAAAGTAATGATGGACTGTCGTTTCTCTTTGCTTATTTGAGCTGTTCTTGCCATAATATGGACTTGGTCTTTTACCAAATAGGGCTATCTTCTGTATACCCCCCTACTTTGTCACAACACAACTGATTGGCTCAAACACATTTAGAAGGAAAGAAATTCCACATATTAACTTTTAACAAGGCACACCTGTTAATTGAAATGCATTTAAGGCCTCCTGTAGCTCAGTTGGTAGAGGTTGGCGCTTGCAACGCCAGGGTTGTGGGTTTGTTTCCCACGGGGGGGCAGTATGAAAAATGTATGCACTCACTAACTGTAAGTCGCTCTAGATAAGAGCGTCTGCTAAATTACTAAAATGTAAATGTAAATTCCAGGTGACTACCTCATGAAGCTGGTTGAGAGAATGCCAAGAGTGTGCAAAGCTGTCATCAAGGCAAAGGGTGGCTACTTTGAAGAATCTCAAATATAAAATAGATTTTGATTTGTTTAACACTTTTTTGGTTACAACATGATTCCATATGTGTTATTTCATAGTTTTGATGCCTTCACTATTATTCTAAAATGTAGAAAATAGTAAAAATAAAGAAAAACCCTGGAATGAGAAGGTGTGTCCAAGCCTTTGACTAGTACTGTACATTGTTGGATTTAACACAATCCACACTTATATGGCATGCTGTTTGCTTATTAATGATTTATATGTCACCCTTATAAAGGTTTTATGAAGTCTTTATAAAGACTTAAAAGTTATGTTTCGTTTAATGTTGGACTTTTCTCAGGTGTGGGACTAAATGAGCCACTCTTCATTAATGTGCTTTGGGCTCATCGGATGAGAAGTGCTTTTAAATGTAAATGTAGTTGATTATTAGTATGATAAGGATGATGCAAATGTTATTGTTTGATATGCAATGATTTTCATTTTCTGAAAACACCCCGCAATGCAGATGATCTGTTTGTAAAAACAACATATCCTTGATTTTTAGGAATTTACAGTGCCTTCAGAAAGTATTCATACCCCTTGACTTTTTCCACATTTTGTTGTGTTACAGCCTGAATTTAAAATGGTTTAAATGGATATTATTTGTCACTGGCCTACACACAATACCCCATAATTTCAAAGTGGAATTATGTTTTTCAAAATGTTTACAAATTATTTAAAAATGAAAAGCTGAAATGTCTTGAGTCAATAAGTATTCAACCCCTTTTTATTATGGCAAGCCTAAATAAGTTCAGGAGTAAAAATGTGCTTAACAAGTCACATAATACGTTGCATGGACTCACTCTGTGTGCCATAATGTTTAACATTATTTTTTAATGACAACCTCATCTCTGTAGCCCACATATACAATTATCTGTAAGGTCCCTCAGTCGAGCAGTGAATTTCAAACAAATTCAACCACAAAGACCAGGGAGGCTTTTCCAATGCCTCGCAAAGGGCACCTATTGGTAGATGAAAAAAAAAAAAAAAAAAAGCAGATATTGAATATCCCTTTGAGCATGGTTCAGTTATTAATTACACTTTGGAGGGTGTATCAATATACCCAGTCACTACAAAGATACAGGCGTCCTTCCTAACTCAGTTGCCGGAGAGGTATTTCACCATGAGGCCAATGGTGACTTTAAAACAGAGTTTAATGGCAATATAGGAGAAAACTGAGGATGGATCAACAACATTGTAGTTACTACACAATGCTAACCTAATTGACAGAGTGAAAAGAAGGAAGTCTGTACAGAATAAAAACATTTGACAACATGCTTCCTGTTTGCAATAAGGCACTAAAGTAATACTGCAAAAAAATTGCAAAGCAATTACATTTTTGTCCTGAATGCAAAGAGTTATGTTTGGGGAAAATCCAATACAACACATTACTGAGTACCACGCTCCATATTTTCAAGCATAGTGATGGCTGCATCATGTTATGGGTATGCTTGTAATCGTTACAGACTGGGGAGTTTTTCAGGATAAAAAATAAACGGAATGGAGCCAAGCACAGGCAAAATCCTAGAGGAAAACCTGGTTCAGTCTGCTTTCTGCCAGTCACTGGGAGATGGATTCACCTTTCAGCAGGATAATAACCTAAAACACAAGGCCAAATCTGCACTGGAGTTGCTTACCAAGAAGACAGTGAATGTTCCTGAGTGGCCGAGCTCCAGTTTTGACTTAAATCTGCTTGAAAATATATGGCAAGACTTGAAAATGGTTGTCTAGCAATGATCAACAACCAATTTGTCAGAGCTTGAAAAGAATAATGGGAAAATATTGTACAATCCAGGTGTGAAAAGCTCTTAGAGACTTACCCAGAAAGAATCTCAGCTGGAATCGTTGCCAAATGTCATTCAAACGTGTATTGACTCGGGTGTGAATACTTATGTACATTTCTAAAAGCATGTTTTCACTTTGTTATTATGGGGTATTGTGTGTAGATGGGTGAGAAAAAGTTTGAACTCAGGCTGTAACAAAGCAAAATGTGGAATAAGTCAGGGGTATAAATACTTTCTGAAGGCACTGTATATAGTCTTTTGACACTTTTTATATAATGTAAATGTTTTGTTATGTTCAAGATGCGAGATCCATTAAACACTGATGTTGTTTTGTTAGTCCTTCAAAATGAACAACACTTGTATGTAACCATTGATATTGATAACTTTATTATAATCTACTTGGTAAAGAAATTATAGAAATGTGGCTTATGTACAAAAAACACATTTTCAGTCATTTTCTTTGCCACTATTTCATCATTGATGAAGAATTAAGACAATAAGTCTCATGGAGAAAAGATTAACCTTAGGTTGTTCTCATCAGCCGTCTACAGTTCTCAGGTTGATAAACAATGTCACTTTTTTCTCAGCATTTCGTTAAAAACAGCAGAATATACAATCTATACAGACAGATTGACCTGTAGATGTTGAGTCCATATCATAGTTGTAAAAATGTTGATATTCATATGATACAGTACATACAAAATATATGTACGGACAGCTTAGAACAAGTGCTGCTGAGACTGAGGCTGTCCTAATATGGACATCGCAACCATCCCTGCATTTGGTCTTATATTTTACACATAACTGTTAATTAGAAAGACTACCAGTGCTTAATTTGAGACGAATCCTGCCAGAACAGGATCTAGCACCTCTCATTTTTGGACTGTTTCGTTCCGGAACCTATTTGGCAGGATTTGGTACCTCTTGTGGCATGACAAATAACTTTCACTGTTTGCAATGTAAAAATTCGAATAAAAGCGATCAGAGTTAATTCGAGTTGCCTTCTCATTAATTTTCCTGCGCCCTAAAAAAAGTATGTTAATAATTAGATTTTCAGCCTGCACCTTATAGGCTATTCTAAGAATTTATTCAGGTTGGGCCGGCCGGGCTTAGGTTTGCGCAACACTGTAGCCTATGTTTGAGACCAACGCATGGCCGTTGCTGTGGTGAGAGAGAGAAGCACGCCTGTAGCCTATCTCTCACAGAACTAGAATGAGATTAACTTTCTATGATCTCTCTCCCTCTCTCTTGTGTGTCACCCTAAAGTGGAAAGACCCGCCCTCCAGGTGAAACAGGCCCTCCAGGCAGTCTCAATCAAACACTCAACATATTTGAAAGAAAACAATTACTATTTTAATCCAGGTCTGGTGAGAATATGTTGAAAGATGAAAGATACTGAGAAATGATCATGGTCCCATTTTAAACAAACAACAACCTATTAAGGCATGAGCCTGCAACTCTCATCTCTCCAGCATTGTACTTCATCATTTGTTTGTTCAATTATTTAATATGACCATTTTCCCTTATAGATTCAGCACCCCTGATAAATTGAAATAAATGTGCCAAAGTTATAGAATTACTGCTGTCTGTACAGAAAGAAATGAAATAATTCAGAATACTACTCCATTTGAAAAGAGAAGACTAATCTGTCTGTAGGCTGCCAAAATATTTGATCAACTTCCAAATAGGCCTATTGAGCGAACAGCATTGTTTTACAAAGTAAAATAAGAAAGAGATGGGCTTTTGCCACGAGTGCACATCAATGGGTTAGTCAGTGGAACTGGAAAGCTATTTTAGGACTGGAATTTCTTCCTCATATTGTACAATATGTGTGTCTCCACACATCTAGGCCTAGGCTATCGATGAATTCAAGACTAGGTTGTTTTTTAATAAACTCGGATTTTCAGTTTGTCAGTGTCAAATTAGCTTGTCATTTCAATCATTTGTGTGGTATTAAAAAATATTCTGCCAAAGTCTGCAGTTGTAAAAGTACGTAGAGTTGCATGAAATGCGTTTATAAAAGGTCACATTTTTCCCAGAACCTAGGCTACTAAAAATGTTCCCCATGTGTACAACTTCTGTAAGCGCCTCTACTCTATGCCACTAGGCAATGCGACGATATGAACGCAATGCTTTATTATAAATGTGAATCTTTTTTGTCATGCGTTCCAGTACCTCAGAGCCCCCCAGGTCACCCGCCTTCGTGCTCTCTTTTTGTTCCGTCACCTTCCGATATACAAATATTTGGGTCAATATAATAACATCAAATAGGACACGTGAGTCAAAACAACACAGACAAACTAGAACCATGTGACTTGGTCGGGTCTCCTCCCTGCGAGTGGCTTGTTTGTGACGACGGCAGTGTAGCACTCATACTGCCACTGACAGAAACAATGGCTGGTCTGACTGAGGGTCCTGGGGGTCCGTGGGGCTGGTGTCACCCTGCACAGCCTGGTTCCCACAACACAGCAGCGGTGAATGGCACAGTGGGCATAGTGGGCACGGTCTGCAGTGGGCATTAGTCAACAGGATGACGCAGTCACAGTGCCAGCAACAAACACAGGACTCTGTTACAGACCAGGGAGAGAGAGTGGTGATACCCTTTTCCTATCTTTCCCTCCCCTCAAGTCCCGTCATCTATTAAGTCCCCTAGTCTCATCTCTCCTAACTTTCCTCCCTCTCCAATCCTCTTCTCACCTCCTGCTCTCCTCTCCTCACTTGTTTTCCTCTCCTCTCTTCTTCAGCAGACATGGGATGTATACAGTTTTTATGGCTCTGGTCCCATTGCTCAATCAAGCACAGCTCAAGTATTTTAAAGAAATACAAATACTATTTGAACCAAGGGTAGTGTTCATTAGGGCAACGCTGTTTGGTGCCTAATGAACAAGACCCAGGTCTGCTCTCTCAGATGAGGCTAGTTCTACTAGAGGAGACTGTAAACACCCTGACTGCCCTGTCCCGCAACCCCCTCCCTCCCCTCCTCCGCCTCTGCAACATCCTCCTCTCTCTCCTCTGCTGGAGGTGCACCACCAGCAAGTACCCGGCCACCGCCAGCCCGGTGGCGCCCCCTGCCCACAGTAGCACCACCCCGGACAGGAACATATCCCTGTGGCGCTGCCCGGGCCCATGGTGCCCGCTGGCCAGCGACATGTAGAGTAGGACCCCTCCGCAGAGTGCCAATGCCATCCCGGTGAAAAGGATGACCAACGGGTCCGCCCGCCCACCGCTCTTCATTAACTCTATCCGCCTCCGGCTGCGAACGCAATTCATATCCTGGACGGCGGAGCTTAGGAGCTGTTTGAGGAGGACAGCCAGAGCTAGGAGGCAGAGCATGGTGCCCACACCCAGGCGCCACTCCCCGGACAGGCTGGTGGTGGTGGAGAGGAGGCCTACACCGCCCAGCCCCAAGCCCAGGACGAAGCTCACTGAGATGCAGTAGCAGAGCAGGGAGCGCCGCGGCTCGCGGAACCACCACAGTTCCACCTGGTCCTCCAACACCCGCCGCTGGAGCAGGGCCGGGTCCAGGCGCAGCACACGGGGGGTACGGCGTGGGGTGCGCCGCGGGGGCATGGGGGAGAACTCCTCCATCTCAGCCATGGTTACTAGGGGAGCCCCCCTCGAGGTTAATCCAGCCAGCTCACAATAGGTACCTGAGGGGGTTAGCAGTTTGGGTTAAATGTCATATTCAAACTCTATGCTTGTGTAACTTGCATTGAGCTATGTTGAGAACTATATCCATGATTAAAGTTGTCATACAAATCTTATCATCCACATTCTACTTGTTATCTTTTGTGCTGGTTGCCTCATCAATATATATATATCAGTATATACCAGAGTAGTTCTCAATATATTGTCATTGGAGTTGTACTTAAATGTGCACGTGATTATGCTGGCGTCCTAGCAACATTGTCACATGTAGATTACTTACCAGTGCAGACTAACGACCCTGTTCCTCTAGCCTCTCTTTAGTCATCCCATCTGTCAGTCCTCCAATCAGATCGTCATAACGGAAACACATCATGATAGACATACACACTCCACAAAACTTCCTGGAGGCTGGTTGAGACAGTTGTGGTTCATAATTCCAAAGCTGTGTGTCTTGGTGGGTCTCAGAGTGGAGTCATCCTGGTTGTGTCATGGTCCAAGTGCTCCAGCGTTGACAGCATGCTTGTTTGCAGTGATGTCAGATTATCTGAGGTAGTTTCCAGTCCTGAAGGAGATCCTCATGGTTGAGTTGAGAGATATATGACAACAGGTCCTCCCTCCTCAGTGTAATTTCTCTCTGGTCTGCTCTCCTATCTCTCTCTCTCTCTCTCGCTCTCTCTCTGGTCTGCTCTCCTCTCTCTCTCTCTCTCTCTCTCTCTCTCTCTCTCTCTCTCTCTCTCTGGTCTGCTCTCCTCTCTCTCTCTCTCTCTCTCTCTCTCTCTCTCTCTCTCTCTCTCTCTCTCTCTCTCTCTCTCTCTCTCTCTCTCTCACACACACACACACACACTTTCACTCACACACACACACACACACACACTTTCACTGTGAGTTGTGATAATTGTCAGGGCAGAGAGTCAAGGATGATGACACACAGACGGAGGGAGTCTAGGACAATCCATCATGAGTGGGGATGGTAGTGGTGGGATGATAATGGTAGTGAGGGTGGGTAGGTAGAAGATTTGTATACGCTTCGCTCACCCACAATATGGCAAGCCTGGTGACAGTGACACACTGCCCACTAATGTGACTGGGTTCTGTCAAAGCTGGCATCACGGACTCGCTGGCACTGTGAGCACCGGCACACACTCACTCTCTCTCTCACACACACACACGTAGCGCCACCCACTCCACATGGGCAATGAGAGAGGACACCCTCTCTACTCTTCTCATGAAGGAAAACCACCACGTCATTAAGTGGTCAAAAAGCACAATCACAAATCACAATACATATGGTGGAAATAGGGGGGGAGGGTGTGATTGTTATGAGGTGGCATTGGTGACATCGACCAGTGCTTCGCAGTGAGACGGCACGCGGACAGACAGACAATGGGGCAGCCGATGGACACAATGACTGAGCTGGAGACGGCTGGTGTGTTTGTGGAGGGGGCTCTGATGTCAGTGTCCCCAGATAATGCCCCCTCTGTCACTCCAAGTATGGCGTCATTGATTCACATGATCTAAGATTGCCTCTTGCGTTAGCTACAATGGAGGCTCTCTAACAGGCCCTTCCCATCTTATACTGTTCAAATTCCAATGTCAGCACCTAATGTGTAGGCATAATACTACATAAAGTTTATGCCAGAGCCAAACATAAAGATAGGTGATTTATGCTATTGGAGGAAAATCGGAAACACTTCATATGAATACCCTCTTGGGTGGAGGTGCCCTTATTAGAGTAACTACGAACAGTGTATGCTCTCCCGTCAGTCCGTTTGAATTAATTGTTTGTGTGCTCTGATTGGTTGATGGTGTGACTGGCCCTCCACCTGTTTTTTTGCACCTCCATCAGGAGAGATCATCCATTGAATTATACTTGTGAGCAAACATTCCATAGCTGCAGGTGGCAGTAAATCCCCAACCTTGGCTTTATACCTGTTCAAACAAAACACTCCTGGTGGCAGTATGCACCCTTTCAGTTTATTTACGAACTCATAGAAGTAGTAGAAGAACAAATGGACTACTTTCAAATGGAGATAGCTTCAATGGCGCTGCCCATGCTGACACAGACGTCGTAATGGGACAGACACAAAGATGAGAAGTCTAACTAACTCTATGACCTCCACCTCGCGCCCACTCCTCCGTCCTCAACTTCTTTTGAAAAAGTTCAAAGGTAATCGAAGACAGGAGGGGAGGAAACCTGGAAACAAATGTATGTGCTTGTATGAAATGAGACTCACCTTCTCTGCTAGCACGTCACAGGGGTGGAATCCTAAAATAAATGTAAAGTAGTAAAAATACATGTATTTTTGTGCGAGACATTTAATAGATAAAAGGATAAGTAGCGTATCGTTTTTAAATGTGTGCATGCTTTTCTCCTTCGAGAAAACAACAGCTGACTCAAAGGGGGTGTGGCGGATTTTATAACACTTACGCGCTAGCTGTCGGGAGGATACACTTGTACTTCCTATGCGGGAGGAGGCTATCAAGGAGAGGACACTCCTTCGTTCGCCTATTAACAAATTGACACTCCTACATATGGCAACTGCTTTTTGGTTTAAGGAGGAGTTGAGGAGAGGACGTACTTTTCCCAATTGAGAATCTCCCAGGGAAAGACAAAGTTGTTGCTGTCTCCATGTCCCACACCAGAGGGGTATACTACGAAGCAGAATCAATAAATTAGCCAGCTAACTTGCCTAAATATTCAGTTTTTTTTATTATTATTTTTATTTTATTTTTTTATTCTTGAAATTGGCATGGTCTAATTGACTCAAAAACCCAAAACACATATTGAAATGTAGCTTTCTTAATGAACCTGAAAATCTGTAGTTAGAGCAAAGTTAGTGAAGATGAATGTAGTGTTAAAGAATGGAATAAAAATGAAATTATCTCAAGTTGGAGTGGAGGATAGATCTTTGTGTATGTCAGATAATGATTCGTTTCTTGTTGGGATGCGTTTGTTGATTAAGGATACATATCTGGAAGACGCGTTTGAGGTTCGAAGATGGTAAAGCATGCGCTGGGAAAAGTGGAATCTATCAAAGTGACCAGAAGTGCTCTTATTCTGATTAGTTGTGTTTCTGAAGAACTGAGGAAGATTGCAGTAGGCTTCAAAATAATCCATACAACAGAAGTATCGTGCTTTGAACTTCGGAGCAGAGAGCCCTTTAAATAAGTAATCTCAGGGGTGACGACAGATGTTAAATATTGAATACCTGAAGAGAATTCCTGGTGTGGTTGGTGCCCTGTGCCTTACCCGCTGGGTGAATGGAAAAATAAGTAGTTTTTTAATAAAGAGCACCTACCTACACATGTGAAGGTTTGCTATGTAAGATTCGCTGTAAGCGCTTTCGTCCCCAAACCACTACAGTGTGAACATTTTAAAGGATTTGGCCATGTTTCAAGTGTGTGTAGACTGACGAAGTATACTGAAGAACAGTGTGTAGAAGGATGACGGTGTTGCAATTGTTGTGGGGATCATGATCATGGATTTTGTAGTGTTCTTTGCCACAGTTATAAACTGTACTGCTCAAGTGTCAAAGCAACTGGACATTGTTGTGGCAAAAGTTTTTGGGACTTAAGGAGTTTACATCGGAAAACTTGCAAGGGATATTGGTGCTGGAAAACGTCTCGCCCTCCCAGGCTCACCTTGAGCCTGTATAGGGATCAGATATATTTTTATTTTTAACAGAAAAGTAGTTTGATGTAGTTTATCTTTTGTATTTTTGGTAGTTTGTATGAAAAGAAAAACGATATATTTACTATTTTAAGACTTGCTACTGACTATTGAACACTTTTTGCCCAACGAGTTCATTCCCCTGACTGTTTATTGATGAATTGGTAACTGAAAGAGTTGCAAAGAGGCTGTTTTGGTACGACATGGCTGATAGGCTTGTTAGTGTTTCATTAGTTAGCTAACTTAGTGACTCATTTTGGAATGGCATGTCACATTGAACAATAAAGGAGCTGATTGGCTTTCACTACCATTCCAAAAGGACTGCAGTGGCTACTGCTACCTAGCATGTGGACGTAAAGGGCAGTTTTCCAAGAAAACTAGCAGTATTTAAATCTTTCCGATGTATCAGTGTGGATAAAGGTACAATTTGGAGTACAGTAGCATATCCCATCCCTGCATTGAGGTACGTTTTCCGACCCATATCTTGTGCCGGCTCCACGGTGTCTTAATGTAACTATGATTGCGTTCCGACCCCAGTGTAGCTCAGTCTAAACAAGCATAAAGGTAGGGTCAGAATCTTCTGGCAAACGTTACTTGAGTCACTGTCCCCTGCCTCTACATTTATTTTGGTTAAACTTACTGTATCAAGTCTTGTTAATTTCCCTATTACATTTGTTTAAATCTATTGAATATTTCCCCATTAATGTTTGTTTTTGCTTTGATTATTTGATTATTATACATCTTTCCTTAGTTCTGTTGTGGCTTATTGTGATTTTGTTTAATCATTTTTGGTGAGGTATTCTGGAGGTTTATTGAATCTTTGTATTTCACTCAGTATAACACGGCCCAGGAGAGGCCTGCAGCGAACACAGCATTGAGCGTGCCTGCTGTGGGGCGACCGCCCGTCTGTCTCTGGTGTGGGTTTGGAAGGTTTACATATCTTGTAACCACCCATTCATACAAACTGATACAAATGCAAGAACTGATTACTTATATTCACTTGTCTATATGTCTCATTCTTCAATCTGGTCCTTGATATATATATATATATATATATATATATATATATATATATACAGTGAGGGAAAAAAGTATTTGATCCCCTGCTGATTTTGTACGTTTGGCCACTGACAAAGAAATGATCAGTCTATAATTTTAATGGTAGGTTTATTTGAACAGTAGGAGTTAGAATAACAATAAAAAAATCCAGAAAAACGCATGTCAAAAATTTTATAAATTGATTTGCATTTTAATGAGGGAAATAAGTATTTGACCCCCT